TATGAATATGTATTTTTAATTGCATAAAACCACCCATAACTCATCTATAGAATAGCGAGACTACAAAGAATCCTGTGAGTTTCTGTTTAGAAGGAAGTAGAGAATAAACCAGCAAAGCCAGCTGAGCTAGCTCCCGAGCGCACTCTGGCGCGTCTAGGAGAGACTGTTCAAAAAAAGAGAAATGCTGAGTGATAGGAAACAAATAAAATCACTCTGGAGAGAGAAATTCCCACACAGAGTGAAGAAATGTTAACATTCAAGACCTGTGGGTCAGAGCATCGGCTTCTGGAACTGAAAGGAAAAGTATTGAGAGTATGTGGGACTAGAGGTGACACCATTCCTGGTGAAGGGGGATATGCCTGCAGGAGGCCTGGGGATGAACAACTGGTGGAGATCAAGTGACCTATGAAAGCAAAAGCAAGCCCTGTCGCAGACGCCGGCCCCTTTTCCGGCCCACCTGCTAAAGATATTGCACTTCACTTTATCAACAGTAGAGGATGCTCTTGGACTAATGAACCTACTGCTCCACCCGACAGAAGACCACCTGTTATTGCTGGAACAAGAAATTAGAAAGAATTTCTAAACGAACAGAAAACAGCAGATGAGCTAAAAGGTATTATTGTTCTTGATTGTCCCCTGCCCACTTTCTTGAAAACTCCATTGACTTTGGGCTTGGCAACAGTCCTCATTTTGACCAATGGAATGTAAGTCCAAACAAAAACTTGACATGTGTGTGTTCGACTCAGTCTCTTGTGCCTCTGCCATGAGATAACAGTGTCCAACGTGAGATGACACACTGAACAGGAGCCTTGGCCTGGGGCAGAGCTTTGTCTCTAGGTCCCATTTCCCAGTCAGAGGAAGCTGGGGTGCTTAGAAAGCTTACTGATTCCAAAGCTGGAGCAGAGAAACTGCCAGGTACCCGCAGAACACCTTGATGCTCGAATGCATGACGCTAATGCTTTCTTACGAGGAGGACACAAGAGCTGGTGGAAAGGGTTCCTGCCTGGCCAAATTTGAGACAATTTGAGCATCAGAAAGAATAATGATGCTAACAGATTATAATACATACAAGAAAGAAGGAATCCATGAGTCCAGAATCATAGTTACAAATATAAAGGGGGAGGAGGAGCTTTTCTCCACTGAATTCCAGCTACTAAATGTAGAAGAAATGAAAAATTAGGAAATCAATTTGCAGTCATCAATATACTATTCATACTGAATGCTGAAACCATGGGATGAAAGTGTGCTGGGGAATCTTTACATGGTCTAGAAGTATCATTCTGCAGATGGTTAGAGAAGGGAAATGATCACCTCCGTAACAGAGTAATCTGGTGGGCCACCTTTCCCACGTGATCAAACTTTGCATCCTCAATTTATGCGACAAACCAACATCTTGTGTCCCCTGATGTGATGCAAGGGGAAGGACGCATCATACACTGGGTTTTTTCACTAAAAATGTTTAACCAAGGGGCACCTGGTGGCACAGTTGGTTAAGCCTCAGACTCTTGGTAGAGGCTGAGGTTGTGATCTCAGGGTCATGACATTCCCTCTGCCCCTCCCGCTTGGGCTCTCTCTGTTTTTCTCTGTCTCTAAAAGAAAGAAAGAAATGTTAAAAAAAATATATGTAACCAAAATATGTGAGAAAACAGTCACACAAATTTAGAATGTGGGTCATTCTACAACACAATAGTCCTAGACACTTAAACATGTCGGTGTCAGGAAGGAAAAAAAGTCCAGAAACTAGGAGTCTGTTCTGGATTAAAGGTGATTTAAAGAGATGATAAGTAAATGTGATGTGTAATTTTTATTAGATTCTGGATTGGAAAAATTGTGTAAGGGATATCGTATTGGTAACTGGAAATTTTTAAACATTAGGCTCTATTATATCAGCATGACATTTGGCGGACATGATAATGTTATTCTGTGATTACAAACACCCTTAATCTCAGGTAGTTCAGAAGATGTGTGCGTGCCTGTGTGTGTGTGGAAGCGCATGTGGAGAAATGGAGACATTCGTGAGTGCAGGTGAAGGACCTGTGTGTTCGCGGCATCGTTCCGTCGGGGACAGGTGCCGAGGCGGGTGCGGGCCGCGCTGCGGGCGCGGGTAGGGGCCTGCGGCTGCCACAGTGGGAGGCCCGGAGGCCCGCCAGGGGGAGGGGGCAAGCGTCGTAACGTCCTTCCCATCAGACAACCAATACGTGCCGTCCTCCTTCTTGCAGGCTTTTCGGGGAAATCAAGACTCCTTCACCCCCGTGGTGAACCCTCTGGACCCGCCGCTCCTGACGCGCTACCTTCGAATTTACCCGCAGAGCTGGGCGCGCCAGATCGCCCTGCGGCTGGAGGTGCTGGGCTGCGAGGCAGAGCAGCGGCCCTAAGCTCTCGGGCCCCGACCCGCCGCTTCCGCCCCCCGGGGTCCCGCCCCCCGGCTTCCGGTCCCGAGCCCCGCCCCCAGCTTCCGGTCCCGAGTGTGTGAACGGTGCGGTCCCAGCAGACCTGCCACATTGGTCGGCTCCCCGCGTCGCGAGGAAAGGAGGGAGCCTTCTGGAAAGCGGCCTCCTCCTGACAGATCAGGCCGCCCACGGCCACCCCTTCCTCTTTTATGGAAAAACAGGCTGTTAAAGTTGGCAGGAGATCTCGTGACGTGAGCACCTCAGATTAGGCTTCATACATTTCAAATAAAACTCAAGTGTTCCTTCTCTTGGTGAGGCCTGGAGCAACACACGTCTGGGGGGCACGTTGCCGCCGCCGGGAAGCCAGACGCAAGTCATTTCAACAAGCAGCAAACCACATAATGTAAGAACCAGCACCAAAAGTCACTTTCGCCTCCTCACAGCTGTGGGTATGGACGGCTGTGATTGCCTCCGTCCGTTGGTCGGACTCGCGCCGCAAACAGACGCGTGGGTGGGCGCACGAGCGCCGGTCCCTGCCGGTCACAGGCCGCACGGACCTGAATGCACAGGCGCGCTTTGCTGACCAGCGCGTCCACAGATCGGAGTTTTGAAGGGGCGGATGGCTTTGAAGAGTTCAAGTTAACCTCAGAAATATGTACCAGTAGAGCCATTTGGCCTTAATTCTAGCCAACAAGTAAAGCAGTAGGTTAAGATCCCGTGTGTAAAATGACAGCATCCCCTTGAAATTTGTGGTGACCGGGAAAGCTGATACTCAGGGCTGTGAAGGGCAGGTATCCCCACAGAGGAACGAGGGGAACCCATGGGCGTCTTGAGACGAGCCTTCACCTTGCCCCGGGCCTCCCGCCGGGGCTTCTCCCACCAGCATATCCCAGACGGCGGCGGCTAGAGGCAAGGACAGGCCACTGAGCAGCGGCAGGAAGCCGCCACGGTTGGCAATTTGCAAACAGGGTTAACCCTGTTTGGAGGAGAAAAATGTGTTACAAACTCAGAAGAAGTAAGAAAATAGATGCTTTTTTCCCAAGCTTGAGCGTTTTCTAACAATCCTGCTGGCCACTGCCGTGACCTTCTGGGGAGCACAGCGTAGCTGTCGCAGTGTGATCACAGACCACGACCCACGAGGGTACAAAGGGTTATAATTCTGTAAGACTGTAACGTTAGAGGTTATTGCAGAAATCAATACATTGTTTTCCTTAACAGCCTGGTAGAGAAGTGAACCCCACAGGTGATAACGCTTTTATTTCCTGGGAGTGGGTTAGTGCCCTTGTGGCTTTCCCTACCGACTGGATGTGTCTCTATTTCTCCAATGCTCCTGCACCCAGGCCTTTTGTCTTCCTGCTGGTTTCCTCAATAACTACTTAAATAAAACCTTGGCACATACAAAAAGATGGTTTCGAGAGCTGTATTTTTACCCTGGAAATAAAAATGTGGACACGGACTTACGGAGGGCACGAGCTGCAATGAGCACGTGTTGTGACAGGCAACAAGGAATCATGGAACACTGCACCAAAAATTGACGAAGGACAGTATGGTGATCACGGAACATGATTAAAAAACAGCAGACACACAGAATAGCAGGATGGACTTCTGAAAACCAAATTAGTGAGTTAGAAAATCAGATTAAATTGAGGTCAGGGTAGAAAGTGAGATCATTTATGAGAGGTAAAATAAAATTCTAAAAATTAGAAATGGAGCCTTGATCCAGGAGAAGACTTTATAGAGAGACTGAAAGAGAAATGGGTGTTCCAAGGTGAGTAAGTTCTAGAGCTGTGCTGTACAATATTGTATATTGTGTATGTGTTGGGCACTTCAACATTTCACAGGGTAAGCTATGTTAAGTGTTCTTACCACAATAAAAATTGAAAGGTCCTGAAAGATCCGATTGGATGTGGTCAAATAAAACAGTAGGAAAAAATTCTTTGGGATAAAATAACAATAATCATCAAACAAACTCGAATCTTTGGATCCAAGTCCCGTAGTGCAAAGCAAAATTAAAGAAACACCAGAACAAAACACAGCCTGGGGCTTTGCTAAATTCCAGGGGTAACGTAGAAGAATGAGAATGTGCATCGTTTACTGGCATAAACCTAGTCAAGTAGCATAACAGACACTATTGCTAGCACCAGAAAACCCACACTATGTTATAATGCTGATTGAGTTACTTACAAAAGCACTGAGATCATAGCAAGGTAATTATCAGAAGATCAGGAAACAAATTCACTCTCCTATGACAAATATAGTCTCTAACTCTAAGTGAACAAATACAATTTTCTGTTACAAACATTTTATCAAACATAATCTCAAGGTTACAAGCCAACAATCTTTGGAAGATCCATATTAAAACAAGTCTATCTTCCAATGTTCTAAACAAGTTTAGGACTACCAGGGTGGCTCAGTCGACTGGGAGTTTGCTTTCACCTTGGGTCATGATCTGGGGTCCTGGGATCCAGCCCCAAGTTGAGTCCTGTATCAGGCTCCCTGCTCTGCAGGGAGTTTGCTTCTCCCCACTACCTCTGCCTGCTGCTCTCCCCACTCATGCTCTCTCTCCATCTTTCTCTCTCAAATAAATAAATCTTTTTTTTAAAAAAAAAGAGAAGTTTAGTGAAAAGACTATATAGAAATCCAACTTTATGATGACAAGATACAGATTCAGACTTAACTTTATTGTTTATAAAATAACTGTAACAATTTCTACCCTTCTTCCTCGACCTTCTCATCACAGGGTGATGACTGACAGTGCTCCTAGAAACTTTGAGGGTACAATTTTATCTGTAGTGCTAACCAAGACTGAGACTACTTATAAAAATTTATTGAGAGATACCTTTTTAAAAACATTTTATTTATTTGACAGAAAGAGAGAGATATCATAAGTAGACAGAGAGGCAGGCAGAGAGAGGGGGAAGTAGGCTTCCTGCTGAGCAAAGAGCTTGATGTGGGGCTTGAACCCAGGATGCTGAGATCATGAGCTGAGCCAAAGGCAAAGGCTTAACCCACTGAGCCACCCAGGTGCCCCTATTAAGACATATCTTAAAAGACCTAAATAATTGGAATTAGAAGATTCAATGTTACAAAGATGCCAGTTCTTCACAGAGAGATCTCTAGATTCAACACAATCTCAATCTAAATTCCAGCATTTTCTCATTGTGGAATCAAGCATGTGGAAATGTAAAAGACCAAGAATAGCCAAAATATTCCTGATATAAGATGATATCAGATATTTTATTTTATTTATAAAGATTTCATTTATTTATTCATGAGAGACAGAGAGAGAGGCAGAGGGAGAAGCAGATTCTCTGCTCGAGCAGGGAGCCCAATGTGGGACTTGATCCCAGGACCCTGGTACCATGACCTGGGCTGAAGGCAGACACTTAACCAACTGAACCACTCAGGCACCCTATTTTATTTCATTTTCTAAGATTTTTAATTTATTTTTAAGTAAGCTCTATACCCAGCATGGGGCTCAAACTCACAACTCTGAGATCAAGAGTCACATGTTCGGGGCACCTGGGTGGCTCAATGGGTTAAGCCTCTTCCTTCGGCTCAGGTCATGATCCCAGGTCCTGGGTTCGAGCCCCACATCGGGCTTTCTGCTCAGCAGGGAGCCTGCTTCCTCCTCTCTCTCTGCCTGCCTCTCTGCCTACTTGTGATCTCTCTCTGTCAAATAAATAAATAAAATCTTAAAAAAAAAAAAAAGAGTCACATGCTCTACTGACTGAGCCAGGCAAATGCCCCAGAAACATTTATTTTAAAGCCATAGTAATTGGGGAGCCTGGGTGGTTCAGTCATTAAGTGTCTACCTTCGGCTCAGGTCATGATCCCAGGGTCCTGGGATGGAGCCCTGCATCAGGCCCCCTGCTAGGTGGAAAGCCTGCTTCTCCCTCTCCCTCTCCCCCTGCTTGTGTTCCTTCCCTCGCTGTGTCTCTCTCTGTCAAATAAATAAATAAAATCTTAAAAAAAACAAAGTCACAGTAATTAAGACAATGTGCTATTGACACAAGGACAGATCAATAGACTAGTGGAACATATTAGAATCCAGAAGTAGACCCACATTATATATGGACACTTGATTTATGATAAAATGGCTCTCCAGAACAGTAGTACCAGGTCAATCAGAAATCCATGTGGAAAATTGAAATTTGGGGCACATAGCCAGCTCAGTCAGTAGAGAATGTGACTCTTGATCTCAGAGTCGTACACGTTGAGGGTAGTGATTACTAAAAATAAGTAAATCAATAAACTTAAAAAAAGCTATTTTTTAAGAAATAAAATTTGACCCCTTCCTTGCTCTATATGAAAATGAAGTCAGTTTTAGGTTAATTAAACCTCTGTGACCAGCAAAAAATGAAACTTCTAGGAGGGTCATAGATAAGTTTCTTAAACAGCATCCCCAAAACCACTAACCATGAAGGAAAAGATTGATCGATGTGACCACATTTAAATTCGGAGCTTCTGTTCATTCACAGAGTGGGAGGAAATATTTGCAGTATGTGCAATTGACGAATGCATATGGAGCAGGTGGCACTCTCTTCTGCTGTTTATTTATTTCAGGAGATAATCTGGCATAATCTACTGAAGTCGGGCATGTAAATGCCCTATGATGATTCTTTCAGATAATGACCTACGAGTAGAATTGCCATGTGAACCAGGAGACAGCTCCAAACTGGAAACTGGCCTTATTGCATATGTTTCCTAGTGGCTCTGTTTTTTAAAAAATTTTATTTATTTATTTGACAGAAAGAGAGAAAGCACACAAGCAGGGGGAGTGGCAGGCAGAGTGTAAGGGAGAAGTAGACTTCCCACTGAGCAGAGAGCCCAATGAGGGGCTTGATCCCAGGAAGCTGGGGACATGACCCAAGCAAAAGGCAGACGCTTAATGACTGAGCCACCCAGGCACCTCTTTAGTGGCTCATTTTATTTATCTTTTATTTTTTAAGATTTTATTTTATGTATTTGACAGAGAGAGAGAGGTCACAAGTAGGCAGAGCAGCAGGCAGAAAGAGAGGGGGAAGCAGGCTCTCTCTACTGAGCAGAGAACCCGATACGGTGCTCGATCCCAGGATCCTGAGATCATGACCCAAGCTGAAGGCAGAAGTTTAACCCACTGAGCCACCCAGGCATACCCAAGTGGCTCATTTTAATTACTGTATGCTCTTCCATTATATAGTATATACCACAATTTATCCACTGTTTTTCTGATAGAATTCTAATACATCATTTATGCTGGTTCTTCTATGGAGGTGATCATCTTTTCTTAAAAATTAACTTGTAAGATGGGGTACCTCGGTGGCTCAGTCAGTTGAACATCCAGCTCTTGGTTTCAGCTCAGGTCATGGTCTCAGGGGTCATGGGATTAAGCCCCAGGTTGGGTTCCGCACTCGGTAGGGAGTCTGCTTGAGGATTCTCTCCCTCTGCCCCTCCCCCCACTCATTCACCCACATTCTCACTCTCTCTGTCTTTGTCTTTCTCTATAATAAATAAATAAATATTAAAAAACATTAACTCAGGGGCGCCTGGGTGGCTCAGTGGGTTAAATAAAGCCTCTGCCTTCAGCTCAGGTCATGATCTCAGGGTCCTGGGATCGAGCCCCACATCAAGCTCTCTGCTCAGCGGGGAGCCTGCTCCCCTCCCCCCCCGCTCCCTGCTTGCCTCTCTGCCTACTTGTGATCTCTGTCAAATAAATAAATAAAATCTTTTAAAAAATGGTTTAAAAAAAAAACATTAACTCATGGGGTGCCTGAGTGGCTCAGTTGTTAAGTGTCTGCCTTCAGCTCAGGTCATGATCCCAGGGTGCTGGGATGGAGCTCCACATCAGCCTCCCTGCTCAGTGGGGATCCTGCTTCCTCTTCTCTCTCTGCCCTGCCCCGCTCACGCTCTTTCTCTCTGAAAATAAATAAATAAAATCTTTTAAAAACAAAACAAAACAAAAAAGCATTAACATGTAACAGTTCTCTGTGTGTTGAGGATCTTAACCTATTTGTCATATATGCTATGAAATGTATTACCTAATTTGTCATTCATCAGTTATATTTCTTTACAATATTTTGTTTTATGAAAGCTTTACATTTTTTATGCAATAAATTTATCATCAGTACTTTCTTTTTATTTATTTATTTATTTGACAGACAGAGATCACAAGTAGGCAGAGAGGCAGGCAGAGAGAGAAGAGGAAGCAGGCTCCCCACTGAGTGGAAAGCCCAATGCGGGGCTCGATCCCAGGACCCTGGGATCATGACCTGAGCCGAAGGCAGAGGCTTTAACCCACTGAGCCACCCAGGCGCCCCTATCATCATTACTTTCAATTATGATTTGGGGTTTTATGACATGCTTAAAGTAGCTTTTTCCACACCAAGATTATAAAAACATTAACCCATATTTTATTCAAATATGTATATGGTTTTATTTTTGTTTAGTCCTTGATCCATCTAGAAGTTATTGCTTTTTGTGTGTAGGGCCTTTCCTTCCATGCATCCAAATGAATAGTCCATCATCATATTAAACCATCTCTCTTTTCCCCACTAATATGAAATGTCATTTTGATCATTCAAGTCATGTGTACACTGTTGTAAGGTACAGTAGACACCACGGGGCAAATAAAATACCTGAGAATTCTTCAAGCCTAAAAGGAAACACAGATGTTTGTACATAGGCAGTAAAAGATGCTCTGTGTTTAGCTGTCAGAGAGAGGTGGGGGGAGGGTCGTATGCATAGATGATGTCATAAGGAGCAGTGGAGTTCTAGTTGGAATTTTAGAGACTTTAGGGGGAGACTCTGACCAGTGTCTTCCGCAGACCACTGCACTCTGAAGACTGAAGCCTAATTCACTGAATTCTTTGATTCCCTTGTCCCTAAGTCAATTTTCAGGTAAGCAGCTTCCCACCTGACATGGGTCTCTTTAAGTCCTGTCAAACAGTAGATGAATGTATTAGTTATAAATGTCTTAAGTAATAGAAAGTCCAAAATAGGGGGCACATTGGTGGCTCAATTGGTGAAATGTTTGCCTTCAGCTAAGGTCATCATGATCCTGGAGTCCTGGGTTCGAGCCCCGGGATCGAGCCCCGTGTCCAGCTCCCTGCTTGGCGGAGAGTCTGCTTCTCCCTCTGCCTCTCACCCTGCTTGTTCTCTCTCTCTCTCTCTCTCTCTCTCTCTCTCTCAAATAAATAAATAAAATCCTTAAAAAAAGAGAGTCCAAATTAGAACGGCTCAAATAGGGGTTATTTTTCTCATACCAAGAAGCCTAGAGGTGGGCAGATGGAGGTGTTTGTTTAGTAACTTGAAACTGGCAGAGCCAAAATAGACGTCATCATCTTGGCCTTTCCTTCACATACATTGCCTCGTGGTCACAGATGGCTGCTCCAACCTCAGGTAATCCTTAAACAATGTTCAAGGAGCAAAAAGAGAAAAATGGCAAAAAGTCTTCCCAGATGCTACCCAACAGATTTCTGTTAGTCTTCATTGTCCAGAACTATGTTTTTATCTTTTCTTCTATTTTATTTTTTGTCATGTTATGTTAGTCACCATAGAGTACATCATGAGTTTTTGATGCAGTGTTCCAAGACTCATTGTTTAAGTATAACACCCAGTGCTCCATGCAGATCATCTGTGCCCTCCCTAATACCCACCACCAGGCTCTCCCAACCCCCCAACCCCTCCCCTGCAAAACCCTCAGTTTGTTTCTCAGAGTCCACAGTCTCTCATGGTTCATCTCCCCCTCCGTGTTCCCCCAACTCACTTCTTTCCATCTCCCCATGTCCTCTGTGTTATTCCTTGTGCTCCACAAATAAGCAAAACCATACGATAATTGATTCTCTCTGCTTGACTTATTTCACTCAGCATAATCTCCTCCAGTCCCGTCCATGTTGCTACAGAAGTTGGGTATTCATCCTTTCTGATGGAGGCATCATACTCCATAGTGTATATGGACCACATCTTCCTTATCCATTCGTCCGTCGAAGGACATCTTGGTTCTTTCCACAGTTTGGCGACTGTGGCCATTGCTGCTATGAACATTGGGGTACAGACGGCCCTTCTTTTCACTACATCTGTATCTTTGGGGTAAATACCCAGTAGTGCAATGGCAGGGTCATAGGGAAGCTCTATTTGTAATTTCTTGAGGAATCTCCACCCTGTTTCCCAAAGTGGCTGCACCAACTTGCATTCCCACCAACAGTGTAAGAGGGTTCCCCTTTCTCCACAACCTCTCCAACACTTGTTGTTTCCTGCCTTGTTAATTTTGGCCATTCTAACTGGTGTAAGGTGGTATTTCAATGTGGTTTCGATTTGAATCTCCCTTGGCTAATGATATTGAGCATTTTTTCATGTGTCTATTAGCCATTTGTATGTCTTCTTTTGAGAAGTGTCTGTTCATGTCTTCTGCCCATTTTTTGACGTTATTGTTTGTTTTTTGGGTGTTGAGTTTGAGGAGTTCTTTACAGATCTTGGATATCAGCCCTTTGTAGTGTCATTTATAAATGTCTTCTCCCATTCTGTGGGTGGCCTCTTTGTTTTGTTGATTATTTCCTATGCTGTGAAGAAGCTTTTGATCTTGATGAAGTCCCAAAAGTTCATTTTCGCTTTTGTTTCCTTTGCCTTTGGAGACATGTCTTGAAAGAGGTTGCTGCCTGTGCTCTCCCCTAGGATTTTGACGGCTTCCTGTCTCATGTTGAGGTCTTTCATCCATTTAGAGTTCATCTTTGTGTGTGGTGTAGGAGAATGGTCCAGTTGCATTCTTCTGTATATAGGTGTCCAGTTTCTCAGCACCATTTATTGGAGAGCCTATCTTTTTTTCCATTGGATAGTCATTCCTGATTTGTCAAAGATTGGTTGACCATAGAATTAAGGCTCCATATCTGGCCTCTCTGTTCTGTTCCATTGGTCTATGTGTCTGTTTTCGTGCCAGTCCATGCTGTCTTGGTGATCCCAAGCTTGAAATCGGGCAACATGATGCCCCCATAAGTGTCCAACTCTTAATATCAGCTCAGGTCATGATCTGAGGGTCGTGAGACAGAGCCTCACGTTGGGCTCCGCACTCACTGTGGAGTCTGCTTGAGATCTCTCTCTCTCTCTCTCTTTCCCTCTCTCTCTGCCTCTCCCCTGCTGCTCACTCTCTCTAAAAAAACAAAACAAAACCCCACCATTTTCTAACTTTTCAGACAAAGCTGCTTTGGAAAGAGCCAAGGAAAAGGACATCTCCCCTTGACTAGATGAGCTAGGAGTACAGCTGAGTGACTCTACAGAGAATTCATGGAGCCCTGGAAGGTGCTGAACATTGCGTTTCTGATGAGTTCCTTGAGCTGTGTATTGGTGGAGACTGCTGCTTCCTCGACACCACTTTCATCTGCTATTGGGATGCAAGACAAAGCAGGGTCAAAACCACGCTCAAGAGGTTTGTTTGCTGTTAGGATCAATGTTCCTGTTATCTTTGTGAGACATAAGACTCAGGTCTCAGGTCAGGAAAAGCTGATTTTGTATTGGTGAAAAATAGTGTTCACAGGGGCTCCTGGGTGCCTCAGGCAGTTACGTGGCTGACTCTTGATTTCAGCTCAGGTCATGATCTCAGGGTCCTGGGATCAAGCCCCTAATAGGGCTCCATGCTTGGTGGGGAGTCTGCTTGGGATTCTCTCTCTCTGCCTCTGCCCCTCCCCCCGCTCATGCTGTCTCTCATTCTCTCTCAAATAAATCAATAAGATCTTTATTTTTTAAAAGATTTTATTGACTTATTTGACAGAGTGAGAGAGTACAAGCAGGAGGAGGGACCGAGGGAGAGGGAGAAGCAGGCTCTCCGCTGAGTAGGGATCCCCACATGGGCTCCATCCCAGGACCCCGGAATTGTGACCTGAGCCAAAGGCAGATGCTTCACCGACTGAGCCCCCCAAGCATCCCAATAAATAAATCTTTAAAAACAGCCAAGAAAAGAAAAAAGAAAAATAGAGTTCATAGTAAAGCAGACTATTCTGGTTTGGTCAATTCAGATCAATAAGCCCTAACCCAGCAACTGTTTCACAGAAGGATGTGGAGTAGGAGTTCACAGATGGCCAAACCCAGAGACACAGGTCTTCTGTGAGATATGACAAAGGCTCCCTGAGGACAAAGGGATAATTCCAGTTGTTTGGGAGGAGGGGTTTCATACAAGGGGGCAAAGATGATATCCATCTGAGAGTACCTTTTTTAAATGCAAATCCCTTGAATGACTTAGAGGCTTCACCACAAAGTAGTTAAGAATATAGGCTCTGGGGGTGCCTGGGCGGCTCAGTCGGTTGGGCATCTGCCTTTGGCTTGTGTCATGATCCCAGGGTCCTGAGATCCAGTCCCACATTGGGCTCCCTGCTCGGCGGGAAGCCTGCTTCTCTCTCCCTCTGCTGCTCCCCCTGCTTGTGCTCTCCCTCTCCGTGTCAGATAAATAAATTAAAAAAAAAAAGAATATGGGCTCTGGGCAACTATAAGATCATGATATCTGAGAAAATGACTTGAACTTGGATCAGGGTTCCCATTACAGCCTTCTCATGTACTTGATCTCTCCTCATTGGACATCCGTGCTTTTTTCTGCAGAACACCACAGGTTCTGGCTTAGCAACTTCAGAGATTACTTGTGGGATCGCATCAGGAGCTCTGTGCCTCCAGCTGCTATTTTTGCTTTTCTTCCTGCCATAGCTGTCATGGGGGTCCTCTGCTGCCTCACGTAAGATGCTGTGGGATGAGGAGAGGGAGGGAGAGGGGACCCTGAGGGAGAGACAGAACAATCAAGCTCCCCACCAGCCTATACATCTAGAATTAAGGGTAAGTTTTAAGGAATGTCATGGTTGTTTTATCCAGCCCACTCCATCCATTAGCAACAACTTACAGGTGACATTCAATAACCAGTGTTTCTAACTGATTTTTTTTTTACTAACTTCATTAACTCCCATTAACTCCTAACTATCTTTCCCTTTGGTTTAGGAATTATACATGGAAAATATACAATTAACTATGTTTTCCAGGGCCACAAATTCAAAATTTGCCACAATATTTATATAAATCATATGAAATCGAAGAGATCCTTGAAATAGTTAACAAAATAAAGATAGGTAGAAAAACCTTAATTTTATTAATCCAATCAGAATTTACTGAGAGATGACTACTTGCCTGTCTCTGTCCTGGTTGCTAGTGAGACAGAGGAATGAGACAACAGAAGAACTGTCTGGTGGGTCAGTGTTACAGTGGGAGACAGAGTCCAAGTGGGGAACCTATGGAAGTATGCTCAAGGGTTGTTTGAACTGCACAGCCTAATAAAACGACTGAGGGCAAAGATCAGCTAAGGGTGTGGCATCCCCACCTAAGACTCCTGATAATCTCAGATGATCATGGGACCAAGAACCTCATCTAGGAAACGACCTTGGGTATGGTTGCTGATACACAGAACCGGTCGGAGCCAAACAGATGTCAGGTAAGTTTTTGAGAGAAGCTTCTTACCTAAGAAACCATGAGCCAGAATTAAATGAGTCTTAAAACAGGACTTGGACCTCTGGTCTTCCATGAGAAGGATATAGGCCTCGAAGTTTCCTAGGATGGCATCTTCCAGTCCCAGAGAATAATGGCTGGGAAGAACCTCCCAGAAGGTGGGCAGCAGGCCACAGAGCTTCTCCTACAAAGTGGCTCGGGCCTAATCAGTATGTGTGCCCAGCAGGGCTACAGGAGCACTTACAGAGCAAATGGCTGCTGTGTGTCTCCCATATTCCTTTCTCCAAATGGGAATATTTGTGGTGGGTATACTCCTCCTGCTCTGTCTTTGTACTGGGCGTGTGGAGAGCCACAGATAACTTGTTTTTCTTAATACGTTACTCAAACCAAGAGCAGCTGCACCCAGATTGGAGAGAAGCAAGCCTCACCCAGGTACTCTGGACTTTGAGCTGGGTACAGTGATAAATGGGATTTTAGTCTCGTGATAAAGTCGTGCCACGAGTCCACTGTTGTGAGACGGGAGTGCTGTGTTCAGGGTTAGGGTTAATTGTCAGGGGCCAACACCTGTGGAGCGTAGGGACAGGAAGGGAAAGGTCATACTGCTTTGCAAGCCCAGCAAAGCCTTGGTTGACCCCATCAGAGCTGTCCCCGTTAGCCTGAAAAGGGTAAAAAAAAAAAAATTTTTTTTGAGAGAGAGCACACGAGAACAGGGGAGGGCAGGGCAGCAGGAGAGGGAGAGCAAGAGAAACTCAAGCGGGCTCCACACCCAGCACGGAGCCCGATGCGGGGGCTCTATCCCAGGACCCTGAGCTCACGACCTGAGCAGAAATCGAGAATCAGACACTTCACCGACTGAGCCCCCCCAGGCGCCCCTGAAATGGCTGTCACTTTATAGAGGCTGGGTGTGGACGACACTCCCAGCAGCCAGAGAAATCAGGCTGCTCTCAAGGGGGAGCCTGAGTGGCGAGTGTCCTTGTGCCCTACAGGGTGGCTGTACCCCATGCAGGGCAGGAAAAATGAAGCCACGTTGCCCAACGAGAGAAGGCGGGACACAAGTGGAGAGCTATCTGATTCCGAATCTCTCCTCCCTGTGACTCAAACTCCCGCCTCAGAAGCCTCAGGAGGACTTTGGGGGAGATAAAACCCACAACACGCCCAAGGAAGGACTTCCTTCTTTGAAGTCGATGCCTCAACCTGGGGAGAAGAGCAATGAAAGCCCTTGCTGGGGACAAGCAAGCTGGCTGGGGAAAGAAACACCAGTGAGGACAGTGAGGGCAAGAGGAAAGGCAAGATGGAGTAAAACGAAAGAAGACATGGATGAAAAAATACAAAAGGAGATAGGGAAGACAGGGTTTAGGAAAGCCAACACCATTAAATAGACTTAATTTATTTAAAAACCTTATTTAGTTATTAAAAATACCTTAGGGAAAGTGGTATTAAAGGGAAAACTGATAGATGCAGGGGGCACGAAATAACCACTTTGTAGAAGAGACCGAAATCGCACAACAGGAAAAGAATGCTTCGAGGTATAATTTTAAGTGTTACAGTAATAAAGGCAGGTTTGAGTCTATAGTCATAAATGGCACATAAAGTCCCAGGAAAAATTGGCAATTGATACTGGGCACATAGCAGACTCTCAATAATACTGGATTTTTTTAAACGATTTTATTTTTAAGTAATCTGTACCCCCAATGTGGGGCTTGAAGTCACAACCCCGAGATCAGGAGTTGCATGTCCCACCAACTGAGCCAGCCTGGTGCCCCAATAATACTGATTTAAAAACACATTTCAGTGGGGTGCCTGGATGGTTCAGTTGTGAAGCGTCTGCCTTTGGCTCAGGTCATGATCCCAAGGTCCTGAGATCAAGTCCCGAATCCAGCTCCCTGCTCAGCCTCTGCCACTGTCCCTCCCCACTACTCGTGCTCTCTCTGTCTCAAATAAAGAGAATCGTTTAAAAAAAAATACATTTCACTGTAAAGACTGGGAGGAGTTTCTCTGTGCCTCTTACCCTCTATCTGGGCTGATACAGCACTAGCTGCTTTGTTGCCTGAGGAAATCAACATGGAAGCCTTCATCTTCCAGGGTGCTGGTGGCGATCAGGGACGCTGACTGCAGCTAACAAGTATGCAAAGAAACGTGTATAAGGAGTTTTTAATATGGTTTATTTATAATAGTGAAAAAATACATGAAACTTACATGGTTACTGGCTGGTTAACGAAAGCACCGAATGTTCATACAATGAGTATTATATGGTCACCAAAAAGTTGTTGTAGAGGATAATTCCATGGAATCCTGTTCATGAAATACTGAGTGGGAAAACGCAGATTATAAGAGAGGATATACAACTGAAACTAATTTGTTATTAGAAACTAGAGTCACCTGGGTAGCTCAGTCTGCTAAGCATCAGACTGTTGATGTCAGTCTGGGCCTGCATCTCTGCGGGGTGAGCTCAAGCCCCATCTCCACTAGCATGGAGCCTACTTAAAAACAAACAAAAAAATTAATTTAAAAAAAAAACTATATGTAGGGGCGCCTGGGTGGCTCAGTGGGTTAAGCCTCTGCCTTCGGCTCCGGTCATGATCCCAGGGTGCTGGGATCGAGTCCCACATCGGGCTCTCTGCTCAGCAGGGAGCCTGCTTCCTCCTCTCTCTCTGCCTGCCTCTCTGCCTACTTGTGATCTCTGTCTGTCAAATAAATAAATTAAAAAAAAGTTTAAAAAGCTTTTAAGGATCTAACCAAAGTATTAGACATTGGTTATCTTCTTGTGGTGGTAAATGGGTGATTGTAATTATTATTACTATTGTCGTTATTGATTTTCATGTTGATTTTCATCTAGCTGCATTTCCCAATCTTTTCAGAACAAACTGTGTTGTTTGGTTAGTAAGTTTTTTATCAAATACTTGATTTTCCTAAAAGATGTGTTTATTTGAGAGAGAGTGCAAGTGGAGGGGCAGAGGGAAAGGGAGAGAGAGAATGTTCAAGCAGACTCTGAACATGGGGCCCAATGTGGGTCTCGATCCCACGACCCATGAGATCGTGACCTGAGCCAAAACCAAGAGTTAGACACTTAACTGACTGAGCCACCCAGGTGTCCCCAAAAGATACTGTAAAAACAAAAGAAGAGGGGCACCTGGGTGGCTCAGCCAATGGACCATGTGATCCTTGATCTTGGGGTCATGAGTTCAAGCCCCATGTTGGGTGTACAGATTGCTTAAAATAAATTTTAAAATATTAATCACTCAATAAAAACAGAAGAAAAGCTACCTAACCATAGTTCTACATCTACCTCCAATCCCAACTATACAATGCTAGAAACATTCATACTCTTATTTTCTCAAGTCATCAAAGCATTTTGTCTGAATGAAATTACGTGGTTCATATTAAGAGGAGATGTTGTCTAAAATCATTTGTTGGAAAAGGGAACTACAAAGTACCTCGATGCAATCCAGACCACTTAGTTCATCGATTTCGCTTCTTTTCCCAGTATTCTCGTAGGTGACCCAGGCCAGTGAATCCGGAAGATTCAGCTGTGCAGAATACGCTATTTGCTTACAATGAGGAAGTACCCATGAATTAAAATTAAATTGTCTTCCATCTTAAACTATCTTTGCCTTTATTTTCACCTTTAAAACATGTAGTCGAAAAATGGGAATAGCCTTATTACTGTTTTGATTATAAGAGTATTACGTATTTATTACAAAAAAAATTTTACAAAATACTGAAAGAAGAAAAAGTACCTGTAATCCTAGTACACAAAAATAAACATTGCTTTAAGATTTTATTTGTCAGATAGAGAGAGCACAAGCCAGGGAGCAGTAGGCAGAGGGAGCAGCAGGCTTCCCATGGAGCAAGTTGAGAATATAGGGGAGCAGGGACAGGGGCTGGAGGCTAGTCAGGTGACAACTTCACTTGGACCCAGTGGGGAGCAGCCGATTCTGGAGTCATTGTGAAGGGAGAGCCTGGCAGGATCTGATTCTAAGTTGGATGAGTGTGGGGGAGAGCAAGACTTCAAGGATGCCTCGCAGGCCTGTGGCCCGAGCCAGTGAAGAGAGGGAGTCATCATTTACTGAGCTGAGGCAAACTACTGGAAGGTAGGAATTTGCTACATGGAAAATGCAAAGAGAAAGAAAGACCAAAATGGTATTCTAATTGATGCTGAGATGAGATCTAGGGAGCTGTGGGCCGCAGCCACACCGCAGGCCAGAGGGGAACTTGGGTAAGACCGACAGGCTGCTGAGAGCATGATCAGACCCAAAGACCATGGGCTGCCCTAGAGGCCAAAGGGGAACAAGTGGACAAAGTGAACAAATTCGTCATCCCCCTCCCCCCACCCCACCATCGCATCACCAGCCCCTCCTCGTCCCCAGGGCAAACCCTGTCCCATCTTCTAACACCAGAGCCTTGTCTGTTTTTAAACTTTATCAAACCTCAGTCATATGTATGTGTTCTGTGGTTTTCTTTCTTTACTTGCTTTATGTTCTGAGATTCTCCCAGCTTGGTACTTGGAAAGCATTCTCCTTATTCAGACCATCGAGTGTACAAGGACATTTCTACTGTTTCCGGGTTGGTTGGTTTGTTTTCTCTTCTCCATAAAGCTTCTATAGGCATTATTGCCTGTCTCACGCTGCACACGAACGAGAGTTTCCCTACAGAATGTGCCCTGGAATTGACTTGCTGGGTCAAGGGGTAAGTGCACGCCCCGCCCCAAGGTCAGTGCCGGCTTCCCTCAAGTGACTACAGGGATTTGCACTCCTCCCACCAGGAGGGAGGAACAGTCCCAGTGTCCCTCCCGCTTGAGAACAGGAAACATCACTTTTCATTGCCCATGAGAAATTACACCCTGTTGTTTTCTTTGTATTTCCCTGAAAACCCATGAGACCGAAGACCTTTTCATGTATTTGTGAATCATTTGTCTTTCTCTTCTATGAAATTCCTATGAATGAATTTTGCCCACTTTTCTAATGTGTAGTTTTATTCATTCTTCTGTAGGAATTCTTTACGTATTCTGTATACCATTGTTTTGAACACTATTGATGTGGAAAATACCTTCTTCCAGTTCGAGGATTGCATTTTCACTCTTGATAAGATGTATTTTGAAGAAGGGACATACTTACTTTAAAGTGATCAAATTTGGCAATCACTTTCTTCTAAGAAATCCTTTTTTACCCCATTGTCATAAAAGAAGTCTCCTACATTGCCTTCTAGAAGTTTTGTGCTTTTACCTTTCACTTTTAAGTCCTTACACTATTCAAGCTAAGTTTTATATGGTGTGAGGTAGAGTCCAATTGTATTTTATTTTATTTATATTTTAAGGTTTTATTTATTTGACAGAGAGAGAGAGAGCATGCACAAGCAGTGGGAGCATCAGGCAGAGGCAGAGGGAGAAGCAGGCTCCTCGTTGAGCACAAAGCTCCACGCAGGGCTCCATCCCAGGACCCCGGGATCATGACTTGAGCTGAAGACAGATGCTTAACCAACTGAGCCACACAGGCGGCCCCAATTTCATTTTTTTAATATTGTGAGAAGCTATACTTTTCCTTTCATGAACTTTGACCTGGAATTCTGTGCCTAAAGGCAGTTCTAGGAACTGAGAAAAACAGATAATTGCAATAAATTCCAAGAAGCAATAAATTCCAAGGAGCAAAGCCAGATTCTGAGCAATGAGCACCCTGAACTGGAACGGGCCACCCAGGAAAAGGCTGTGTGACCATCCCTTCTCTGAGCCTGCTGACTCACTTGTCGGGTACTTCTCCACCCTGAGCTATGCCTCAATAACAACTTTAGCTAAGTTTTGCTCAAGGGGTCATTCTCTCTGAAGGTCTTCTGAGAGCAGTAGTTCGGATAAAGTGTTTGCCTTCACTTCTAACCGGCCTCAGCTTCTATTTTGCTAAGATCCATTTCTAGTACGGCCAGTGCCACAGAATCCATAGGCCGGTCTTCCAAACCATGATCATGACTTCTCTCTATTTCTGAGCTCTTCTGTAGTGGATTCCAACAGAATGTTATAATTCTGTCTCCACAGTATATAGAGTCACATTTATTTCTAAGTATTTTATTGTTTTAGACGTTACACTGAATGGTATCTTTTAAAATTATATTCTCTGTGTGTTGTTGGTATGTAGAAATGTAATCAATTTCGGTATTTAAAAAGCTATCAGGGGCACCTGGGTGGCTTAGTGGGTGAAGTGTCTGCCTTCGGCTCAGGTCATGATCCCAGGGTCCTAGGATCCAGCCCCGCATCATCGGGTTCTCTGCTCAGTAGGGAGTCTGCTTATCCCTCTGGGGTCTCCCTCTCTCTTTCTCTCTCTCAAATAAATAAATAAAATCTTTTTAAAAATAAAAAAATAAAAATAAGATTATATTAATAGCCTTACACTTAGCGCTTTTTGTTTTTATTAAGTTATTGATAGATTTTTTTAGTTTACAAAGATAATACAATATCTGCTGATAGAGACAATTTTGTTTCTTCTTTTCCAATCTTTGTACCTTTATAATAATTTTACTTTTACCTTACCTTATACAGGTGCTCACGCTCTCTCTCTCTTTCTGCCAAATAAATAAAATCTTTGAAAAAAATTGAATATTTTTCATCTATTGAGATAATAGGATTTTCCCATTAATATGGGAAATGCAGTTAATTTGGATTAATGCATTTTCTTTTTTCTTTTTTTTTTAATATTTTTTATTTATTTACTTGAGAGAGAGAGAGAGAGCATAAGCAGGGGGAGCAATTCAGGGGCTGGATCGCTGGACCCTGGGATCGTCACCTGAGCTGAAGGCACTTAATCCACTGAGCCACTCAGGAGCCCCCCAATTTTCTTTTTTAAAAAAGATTTTATTTCTTTAGACAGAGAGAAGGGGGCAGGGCAGAAGGAGAGGGACTCTCTGGGAGAGAGAGCTCAGCCTCACTACCCTGAGAACATGGCTTGAGCCAAAATCAAGACTTGGACACCCAACCACTGAACCACCCAGGCGCCCCTGGATTAATAAATTTTCTAACGTTAAGCTAATCTTGAATTCTGAAAATTCAAATATCTGAAGGTTTGGTCCAATTTGGTTATCTGTTGTTCTGCTGGATCTCACCCATGGTTCCTTGTATTTTGATTGTATGTAGTATTTTATTTTATTTTATTTTTTTATTTTACTATGAGCTGCAAGGGCCGAACTATACTTATCAATTCTCAAGGGAGAATTTGTGTTGAGCCCTTTGTGGTAGACTCAGTTAGTCCTGCAGAAAATGGGTGAGTGCTTGCCAGGAGCTAAAGACCACAGGACTGGGCAGTGACTGAAATGATGGCTTCATCTGGAGTGATGACTGTACAACTCTGTGATTATGCTAAAAGTCACTGAATTGTTCACTTTTTTAAAAAAAGATTTTATTTTTATTTATTTATTTGCGAGAGAGGGAAGAAGACCATAAGCAGGAGAGAGGGGCAGAGGGAGAGGGAGAAGCAGGCTCCCTGCTGAGCAAGGAGACTGACTGGGGCTTGATCCCAGGACCATGGGATCATGACTCAAGCCCAAGGCAGACGCTTCACCAACTGAGCCACCCAGGCCTCCCTGAATTGTTGACTCTAAGTGGGTGAATTTTATCTTGTCTTGGGCCAGCCCTCAGAGGAGGTCTGCTTCATGGGGAATTGGGAAAAAGGAAGAATGGTTTGGCTCAGAAGAAGCAAGGCCATGTGTTCTGCGGTTTCTCTACCTAGACTGTAGTTCTGAATACATTCTCTGCACAGAAAGGAAGGTCTGGAAACCTAATATTCCAAAGTGGGTAAGGTTGTTCCCTCTGCGTATTGCGAAGGGGTGAAGGAGGGATTTTTCTGTACTTTATATATTTGTGTATCTCTGATTTGTTTTCTTCTTAGTTGTGTGAGTATGCCACGGTTGATGGGCATTTGAGTTGTTCATAGGCTTTTGCTATGAACAAAACCATTTTCATGAGCATTGTTGTCCACGTTCTTTGTTGTACATATTCAAGAATTTCTCTTGGATATATATACGTAGGAGTAGAATGGCTGGCTAAGAGGGTAGATGTGTGGACTCATATGGACTCACATTGTCTCTCACAGTTGATATTTTAAGTCTTTTTAAATTTTGATAACTGGGTGGGTATATAGTAGTATTTCATTGTGGTCTTGATTTGCATTTCCCTGGTCACTAATGAAGTTGAACATCTGTTCCTATGTTTATTTCTCCATATGTGAGATATTTAGCCATGTGTTTTACCCATTTCTCTACTGGACTTTTAAAATTTGTAATTTATAATCCTTTGTATATTTATAACAGGAATCCTTTGTCATTTGTGTATGCTCAGAATATTTTCTCCCAACACACGTGTGGTCTTTTTTGGTTTTGACTTTGTCTTTTGATAAGTAAGATTTCCTAATGTTAACAAAGCCAACTTTATCAATATTCCATATACTCAGTGGTTTTTCTGCATTATTTTATAAAGAAAACTTTCTCTTTTTTTAAAAAAGATTTTATTTATTTGACAGAGAGACAGCTAGAGGGGGAACAGAAGCAGGGGGAATGGGAGAGGGAGAAGCAGGCTCCCTGCTCAGCAAGGAGACCGATGTGGGGCTTGATCCCAGGACCCTGGGATCATGACCTGAGCAGAAGGCAGACGCTTAAAGACTGAGCCACCCAGGTGCCCCAAGGAATCTTTTTCTATCCCCCAAAGTAAAAGTGGTGCATAAACAATGACTTTTGGAACACTGGAAAAAAAAGTTGTTTGCTGGTGTTTTCTTTCAAGAGCTTTTTGACATTTAAGTGTATTTTTGACATTTAAGTTCTTAATCCATCTGGAATAGATGGGGTTTGGTTTTTTTGTTTTGTTTTTTTGGTTTTGGTTTTTTTGCATATGGCAGGGAAAGATTTCGTATTTTATCTCTTTCAAAATAAGCAAGCATTTTCCAGCTTCACTTAATGAAAGTCTTTGTAGAGTCACCTACCATCCCGGCTGTATCACGTAGCAGTTCTGCACCTGTACAGTGTGCTTCCGTGTTCTGTACTCTGTTCCACTGCTCACTTAACACGTCCCTGGGCCAGGATCAGACTCTTCATTTTGACAGCTCTCGCTTCTTTCCTTTTCTGCTGTGTCTGTCTCTCTCAGCTTTCTATAGTGCCTTTGGGCTCATCGTGGGGGAGGGCGCCATCAGCCTCTTCTCCGAGAAAACAGGGTGATGCGGCTCTAAACTCTTGCCCTCGGACTTTTTCCTTTTGGCTATGAGTTCCTGAAAGGTCCAAAGATTATATGTGGAGGAACAAAGTGCTGATAACACTGTGAGGTTCCTAGCTCGCGGCAGAGGAGGCCAGGTTTTCATCAGATGTGTGCGTGGGGACAGCTGGAGCCCTGCAAGCGCAGTAAGGGTTTGTTTTGTTCTGAAACCCTTCCCTCAACAGAACTCCTGCTTTACCACCACCAAGGCATTAAGGTGCTAAGGAATGTAGGTTCCCTTGGCTTCCCCTGTTCCCTCAAATTTTTTGTGGCATTAGCAGTAGGAGATGTGGCCCAAGACAAGGAGAAAGAGCTTGTTGTTGGGAGCAATCAGGCCTTTCATCACTGACTCGCAGACAGCAACGTAAATCACAGGGTACCTGCAGCCCAAAGAGCCTTAAAGGCATTTTCGCAACGTTTGGGGCCCGCAGAGATTTCTGGGTAAAGCCTGCGGTTGAAGGGACGTCTTTCCTGCTGCCCCACGCAGTAGGCCTCGGGTGTGGGCCGAGCTGGGGACCCCTCCGTGGTGCTAGCGCGCTTTTCTTTACACCCCTGAACCCTTCGGGGTCAGCTCAGGGTCGGGGCGGGACGAGGGGCGGGGGTGAGGGGGCGGGGCGAGGGCGGTGCTCCGCCTCCGCCCCGCCCCGCGCACCGCCTCCGCCGCCTCCACCGCCTCCACCGCCCCGCAGGCCTCGGTTCTCGCACTCCCGGCTCGGCACGGCTCCCGGATCTGCGGCCCCGCGTTCAGCCTCCGGCCGGATGACGCTCAAGGCGAGCGAGGGCGAGGGCGGGGGCAGCATGCGCACAGCTCTCTCCGACCTCTACCTGGAGCACTTGCTGCAGAAGCGCGGCCGGCCCGAGGTGAGAGGGCCCCGCGGTTCCCCGGGCGCGGGGTGAGGGGCCGGGACAGGGCTGCAGGCCGCGCCACCCGCCGCGGGACCTGCGGGGCTCCCTGGCCCGGCCCCCGGGGTAGGGGGGGCGTCCTCGGAGGGGAGGCCGAGGCGGCTGCCGGGGTCGACGTGGACGGCCGCAAGTGCGGGGGTTCGTTTTCCCCAAGAGCCCCTTGGACGTGGAAATTAGGAGAGGCCGCGGCCTGTGCAGAGCGCTGGTTAAGGTCAAGGAAAACTTCTTCGTGGACGGAAGTCAGGGTGAGAGAAAGACTTTTAGGAACAGATCCCACAAGAGGAAACTGCCTGCTTGTTGTCGCTGGCGGTGTCGGGGTCTACAGAAAGGGCCATTAAAATCCACGTCTGCCTCCAAAGCGCTCACTCAGCGTCCCTCTGCATTTCGGGAGGGCCCCTTGTGCTGCCTCTGTGTATTGTCCGGTGGACAGGCACTCCCGGATTCCAGAAGTGATTCTGGAACGGGTGGTAGATAGCTGTTAACCTCCATCGCCCAGGATGCCCGGAGAGGATGTTGATCGTTTTCGCATTCTCTCTCGCAGTTCCGAGTGTGGATTTCACCCCGCAAAATAAGTTTGTCTCGTAGACGGGCGTGCACCATCAACACCCTCCCTGGGTGACTCCTAACCCAGAATATAGGCCCAGCAGCCCCTCCGGTAGCCTGGCCTTCCTCATGGGCTGGTGGTCAGGCACTATGAATAAATGTCCACAGGCAGAAAGAGAGAGACAGAGAGCAAGAGCCAAGCGTCAGCTGCACTGTCCACAGGGACCAAGACCCAGAAGTCAGGCTGAGTCTCCTTCCTAGACTGCAGGATGGTTCGGGACACAGCTATTTCTGCTCACTGTTTTTATTTTAAATGTCTAATGAATAGGTCCTCAGAAATGTCTGTGAGTCAATAAATGACTGAAGAGGTGGACATTAGAGATTTAGCGTAAGCTTCCATGCACAGATGAGGACACTGAAGACCCACAGGTAAAGCAAACAGGAGAGCGATAGACTGTTTGGGCCAGTAGCTCAAGGAAACAGCTGATAGGCATCGGCGTGCTGTTCACACCTTCGTGTGCTTTCCAGCCATGATGGCGGGATTCTAGGCTTGACTGACTGCCGGCATGAGCAGGTGGGGAACACAGATAGAACTGGAAGGTCCGCAGTGAAGTATGCACTGGGAGCGAATCAGGATCTAAAAGCACCTGGCTCCTCAGAGGCTTGCATTCTCTTTAATCAGTTCACTTGGCTGAGCCTTAACTTTTTAATAAAATCTCTTTATTAACTTGACTTCTGGCAGCTTTACTGAGGTGTGATTAACATACATGTAATTCATAAATTTATGCAGTCTGTTCAGTAAGACTTCACAAATGCATACAGTCATGTAACCATCACCCAAGTCATGAAAGAGAACATTTTCACCTTTCAGAAAGTTCCCTGGTGGTCCTTTATAGTCATTACCCCACCCCAGAAACCTGGAAATCACCCTGGCAACAGGTTGAATTTTGACATGAGCATTTGGCCTTTCTCGGACTGCCTTATAAATGGACTCCCACTGTATGCAGTCTTTTCTATCAGGCCCCTTCCACTCAGCACAGCCAGAATCCCACATACAGCTAAATGACCAGACCTTGTATAAACCGGCCTGCTGTTAGGGACGGCCTTGAGAGACTGCCTGCCCTGTGGAAGGGAGGCCCAGCCCTCCAAGAATCTGTCGTGGTGCACACCCTTAGCATCTGCGGGTTGGTGGCACTGTTGAGTTCCTCCTCAGTTACTGCGCATGGGCTGCTGGCTGGCCAGTTTGGTGTTCGTGAGGATCTGAAGAAGATGAAAGAAAGCATGCTAAATCCTTCAGCAGAGTAGCATCTAGATCGGCCACAGTGAGGACGTTGGAGGGAGAGTATCCAGTGATTTCTTGAGGTTCACCTTCCCTCTCAGACTCTTATCTTTGCTGCCACCATGGGCTCTGCCTCTCGCTGTGTATCAGGCAAGCTTCTGGGCTCTCTGTGCCCGAGATTTCTCTTCTCTGTCAGATGCACCTCTTTGGAGAGCTGTGCATATGGTGACGGGAGATAATGCTTGTCCAACACTTGGAACTTCCCTGGTACAACACTTGGAACTTCCCTGGTACATTCAAGATCTCGCTAACAGCTGCCTGTCCCAGGGCATTAGCACATTTTGCTGTCCTGGCAAACCTGTGATGGAAAATGATGAAACTGAAGGCTTCATTTAAGGGGAATGCTTTCTGTGAAAGTTCTAAAGACTCAAAATCCAGTTTCACTTTTTTAAAAAAGATTTTATTTATTTATGTATTTACTGGGGGGAGAGAGAGACAGCACAAGCAGAGGGAACAGTAGAGGGAAAAGCAGGCTCCTCGCGGAGCAGGAAGCCTGATGCAGGCCTCTATCCCAGGACTCCAAGATCATGATCTGAGTTGAGGGCAGATGCTTCACCAACCGAATCATGCAGGTGTCCCCGAAAGTTTCACTTCTGACTATAGTTCACATTTAATATTGAAAATGTATGGGGGGCGCCTGGGTGCCTCAGTCCATTAGGGGTTAAGCACCTGTCTTGGGCTCAGGTCCTGATCCTAGCCCAGCAGGGAGTCTGCTTTGTGCTGTCTCTTACTGTCTCTCTGAAATAAAATCCTTTAAAAATAATTTTGCAGCAGATTGGAAGTATAGCCCATCTCCCGTATTTAAGTATATTTCTTTTCTTTGAGAAACTCAGAAGCCATCTCTGGCCTTATTCTTTGCAAATACAATTAGGTTGTGGAAGTCCTCCTGTACCCTGCTCAAAACAGCACTTTCCCATGCAGTAGTGCGTTGAGAATCTCTCAACATTCCCTTGGGCCTGTCCCACATTGGGAAAGGATGTAATCAAAACAGCCAGGCCCTAGGTAAGCGTCCGCTTGCATCCGGCTGTCGGTGCTTGGGCAGGCTCCCGCGTACCGCCACGTGGGCGGTGGACCGTCGTGCGCAGGCTCTCTGCTGGCCCACTGTGCACAGGCGCAGGTGTAGCGAGCGATCGGGCTGTGGACCCGGCGTCTGGCCGACTCCCAGGCGTGGTTGGGGAATGGCGCTCCAGGCCGGCCTAGCTGCTTGTGCGAAGCCGTGGAGGTTCTTGTGGACTGTGGCCCTCTGAGTGTGATCATTCTTTGTGGTGGAAAGTAACATACTCCCCCGAAGTTGTGACAGTCAAAACATGTCTTGAGACACCGTCAAATGTTCCCTGGGCTTGACATTTCTTTGGTGCAGAGATTTCACCCCTAAGCAGAGAATTACTCAAACCTTTCAGTGTTGCTCAAAATGGAGGCCCTGGGTGTAGAGCGTAGGAAGGCAAGAGTGAGTCTGTGGGGAGGGGAGGGGGGCCCGAGGGTGGGAAATGGGAAGAAAATCTCTGAATTAGGGAACCAGAATTTTCTTGTCTGATTCTTCCCTTTTTCCTTTTCCTTCACATAGAAGCAATACACGTACCTGCATACATACGTAGGTTTTTGCTCAAAGTCACCTTCCCTGCAGGAGAAGGAGCCTTTGCCTCTGAACACCGTACACTGGGTAGATAACGCGTTGGAAGAGGGTCTGCGGAGACTTGACCTTTGGCGTGTGTTGGCAACGGATTTAGTGCCTGAGAAACAGTGCGTCCAGTTAACCTTCGATTGTAAGGTCGTTCTGGCCGGAAACTCCTGCCCCCGGCTCTTCCCCGGCTCTTGTCATCTGCGATGGAGGCGCTCGCGTGTTTCTTTCTGTTTTCCCTCGGTTTTCCGTGGTTCTGTCCTCCCGAAGCGGACGCGGGGGCCGCCGGCGCCGTGGGCCCCCTGCCGGCCGGCCTTGCTCAGCGCGGCGGGCGGAGAGCCCGGGGCAGGCCGAGCAAATGTTTGTTCCCACCTACGTGCACCGTCGCTCGCTCTGAATCCGGGCTTTATTCCCCCCAACCCCCCCCCCCCCCCCCCCCCCCCCCCCCGGCCCACGCCCCACCCCCGCCGAGTTTGTTTTTCGTGTCTTTCTAAATCCAGCTTCCTGTGAGCCGCGGCCTCTGCCCTGGGAGCCCAGGCGCAGATGTTTCCTCGGAAGGGGCTCTCGGAGCGCGCGGCGCGTTTCCTCCCCAGTGTCTCCTCTTCCACCAGAGCCCCCCCTGCCTCCACCAGGGCCCGGGGGCCTCCGGGGCACCCCGGAGAGGAGGGTAGCGATTTTCAAGTTTGAAGCGAACTCTAGGACGTCCGCCTTTATTATTTGGTCACTCACGTGGCGCTGGTGGCGATGGCGGCGGTGACTCGGAGTCCCACATGTCATCAGTGAATGTGGCGCCAGCTCCTGTCCTAGGTACCTGTGTGGGACTTAGGTTCCAGCTCAAGGGGACAAACTGGACGGGATGAACAATCAGGTGTATATCTCACCGAGTGGAATGCCTCGCCAGCTGTGCAACCAGACAAGTTAGGGCAGATCAGGGGCCAGGACAGATGCCTGGTATGTGTTCTGTCTGAAGGTGGGCAAGTTTAGAGGCCCCAGCAGGACGCAAGCGCCTTCCCCTTTCTCCTAAGCTCACTGTGGGCCGGCTTCGTAGCAAGAAGCCTGGGATGCAAGTTCCTGCGGCAAAACTTGGCTCTGAATCCCAACTCTTGTCTGCCCTTCTGTCCACCCCTCCTTTTCGTTCCCCTGCAGGTGCCACCCTCCTCACCGGTCAGAAAGCCTTCATGGAGCTCCATTTGCTAGTTCTGAGGAAAGCTGGAAACCGTGTTCCGTGTCCTTTGAGCACTTACGGTCTAAGATTACCTTAAACTTGATGGACACTATCTTTCCCATTTATCATTTATGTTGCGTGAATGAATGAATGAATGAATGACTTCCCCTTACAGTAATGAGCTGCCGAAGGGCAGACAGCAGGATGTTACTATGTGAAGACGTCCTGTGCTTCATGTAGTCACAGACCCACAGACTGGAGCAGGGAATCACCTTAGCTCTGTGTGTGTGTGT